ATTCACAGCAAAAGAGTCGTCGCTCTTGATTAGGATCCTCACGAACGCCAGCTCGCTATCATCATATTCCCACTCAAGCGTCTCGTCCCAGATAGGGTCTATGTTTGGGGGGTTCTCCCGGTGGTGGAAAAAGCCAAACTTGTGTTGCCTGTAGGCTCTCGTCTTCTGTTTGTTCGCAGTAGGGTCTTTATCTAACGGGTCGGCGGGGTGCATGAGCGACGCGGTGACATAGGGGAAAATGTCATCCTGGCTGCGGCCTTCTGGAAGTGGCACGTTTGTAGCACCGGCAATGTGGAGGCGCAGGCGCTTCCTCTGGCCTGTGGAGACGGAGCCATCACCACCGCTTCGCAGGGAGGCGGGTTTGAGAACGTATCCATCCGTGCCCGAGAACAGGGCTTCGTTGAGCTGGAGGCTGAGGCCGAAGCTCTGCCAGTTGAGCGCGCAGATCTGGGCTCCAAGGCCCCAAAATGGCAAGGGCTGCAAGTTCTGGGATGATATGCGCGTGCCCTTAGGATACACTCTCATCAGATGATGCGCATTGTGTGTTCTGATATTCGGATGAGATTCGGACAGGAGGCCCAGAATACCGGTCTCAGAGACGTTGATAAGATGGTGATGGGGCAAATCTGTCTTCCACACTTGCTCAAACCATGAGTTATCAACAGGCTTGACCGACTGTGCATACACGCCCAGCTCAGCGAGCTCAGGGATAATAAGTCTTGACTTGGTGGCCCGTATCTTCGCCATGTAGCTCCTGCGAGCCTCTTTGATCTCCTCGTCCGATGAACGGTCGCTTGTGCTGGAATCGTCACACTGCTCGCCCTGTAAGTGGTTTTCAACGATAACAACAATTTTGGAACCAAGTTCCTCGAGCGTAACGTGTGCCCCTCCCTCTTCTTCTCTGTGACCCTTCTCCCGGACCGCCTTGCTCAGGAGGCGCTCTCCCCAGACTTCCTTCATGATGTCTACCAACCGCTGCTGGCCGTAATCACCACAGTGGTTCTCCAGAGATATCATAATCGGAGCTGGGCGATGACCCTGCACCCCTGAGTACAAGTACTGAGCCGCTTCTTGGTCGACGACGTCTCGGATCGTCTCGCAGACATCGCGGAAGGTTATCTGCGAGACAAGTGTATACCCATGGGTGACCCTGGGCTCCTCCTCGTTGGCCTCATCATCCCATGCATCGATCTCCACGCAACGGGCGCCAGCCCGTAAAGTCGTCTCGTATGCCGATGCAGACGAGGTCCCGTACAGTTGGTGCGCCGTGAGGTAGGTGTTGTGACTCGAGCTGATGAAATACTCAGGCAGCGGATAGGACCTGTCAGTGACCTGTGGTGGAACATTGATGTGTGGTCTGTCGACAAGCGCCTGAAGAGCGGCGCTTAATGTCTCATCCCTGTCACACGCCAGGTCCTTGGGGGGTAACACGCCCTCCGCCTGCAGGAATGATCTCAGCGCGTGGCTGACGCGAAGTTGTTTACGAGTAAGGGAGGTCTCCCGAGCACTGTGGCCACCGCCGGCAATGGTGTCGAGGTCGGTCTCTTCGCCTCTCTCATCTTCGGCTGGGCTGCCTCTCCTGTTGAAGGGAGTGAGCCTGCCGAAGGCCGACGACAAGACCCCAGGCATGCTTGGCAACGGAGTCTGCTGGTATTGTGAGCGGAATGAGGAAGGGCATCGAGGGACGAACTGGAAACTGCAGGACAGTCATAGGTGATCCTGTCGACCAGCAAGAATCAACAATTCGAAGCTATTTTGTGTCGGAGCAGTCCATATCGTCGGTTGGTGTCCCTTGAGGACATAGTTAGATGGTTGTTGGGAGGGGCTTAAAATATCCTAACGCTTACGCTGTCAAGCAGGTGGGTCTCAAGCAGCTGAACAACCATGCATGCAGCCTTCGTGGGGATCCATGGATGGAGGATTTATTGATCTGCGCCTACCTAACCCTGCCCTCGCCTACACCGCCATCATATTCCATCCTGCCGAATCCTACCATTAGCATGCTACGGTTCCCCTGGTACTGTGTTAGATATTGCGGGCTACAGAAAAAAAAAACCATCTTGCCGATAATTATAGTCCGCCGCCGGGCTCGAACACGAGTGGATATCCGTACCGACCAAGGCCATATGGTTACCTACATGTAGGTACGCGGCACAGCCCTAGGAAATAACGGCTACATTTGCCGTGAGTACCTAGGCAAGTTCTTGCTGGCTTACGGTCTTTCTGGCCAATCCTCTGTCGAATTACTGGGACGATGATTTTGGACGCCTGATACCATTTGCAACCGTGCTTTGTTTGGACAAAGTCGAGTGCATCTGGCTTGCTGCGGAAAATGCTGTGGATGCGACAGTGGTTGCATACAAGACAAGACGGAATTCGGGTCCGTCAACTTTTGCCAGTCTTTTCGTGCCAGAAAAAGTATTTTCAGCCAAACAAAAGACTGCATAATGGGACAATAATTGAACATTTATTAGGTAGGAGTAACAGAAGGTAGATTAGCAAAGACAATCACTCATTGTTTAGAAGGTGATGGGGGGGGGGGACCAGAAGGCATAGGGGGTCTGGAGGAAGTGAGTTGAAGGGAGACATCCAAGCTAATACCCTAGGCGTGCTTGTAATTGAGCGCAGTACCTTCTGCGTCCTCTTTTGCTGCCCAAGTAGATACTATGTACTTATACCAAGTAGATTCAGGAGCCAAGTCAAATTATCAAGGAATCAATCTGTCATTCATAGTCGTCGTTACTTTACAAGCACATGAAACCCTGCCATCTCTCCCCACAGCTAATCATCAGCATAAGCCCAGCAACCCCTCGACCGCCATGCCAATCTTCTCTACTGTCCATCCCTAAAGACCCTTCGTAAGATCGAAGCACCGCCCATGATGCCTGCAGATTAGGCCATGTCAGGGTAGAACTTGACGGCACGCCTGGCCCGCTTGGTGGAGTTGGATCCGGACATCTGGACGGCGAAGACGCCACCGAAGGGGCCAGCGTTGTTGTTGTTGGAGATCTTGACCAGGCAAAGGTTGCTCTGTCCGCTGATAGTACCAGAGCAGGTTGTACCAGCGGGGATCTCGACCTCGAAGGGCTGTGAAAGGAGTCAATGCGGTCAGCGCGGTTCCTCATCATCTAATTAAGAGGAAGCCGTCATCACTCACGTAGTCCTCGTTGACGTTCTCGGCTCTCTTCTGCACGAGCCCCACACTCTCCAGGCCACGGCGAAGCACCCCCAGCAGGCCACGCTTGTTGTTCTGACTGTCTGCCGGTGCAGCAATATTGCCGTTCTCTCCCGGGGGCTGCTTGGTCACCGTAGCCTGCTTGGCCTGGCTCCACTTGGCCGTGGCAGTCTCGTCAATCAGTGCCTCGACAGGGCCAGCCCCGTCGGTAGTGACGATATGGTATGTGCCACTTTGTATCGTTCAGTGAAATCTAGTCTCGTTTGAAATCCGGGAAAGGTAGAATCTGCAGCTTACCTGACGGAGCCACCGCTGCTGACCTGAGGCAGGGTTGAGCCGCTCAGAGCCATCGCCTTGTCGAGGTCCTCAAGCTGGTTGTTGCCGGAGCCACTCTCCGTGTATCCAATGTCATCATCCGTCGCTATGTCCTGGGACCAGAAGACTGTGGTATCAACCTCGGTCTTGTAGTTTGGGCCTGCACCAGGCACGACAGCACCCTGGATCCCGAGGGCTGTACCATTGCCGCCCAAGTCACCAGTGACAACGGTGATCTTTCCGTGGGCAGAAACGAGAGGGGTAGCAGCCAGGGCGAGGACGATGATTTGGATGTGGGAAAGCATCTTGAATGTTTGTGAGAAGTCGAAGCTGTTTTCGTTGCTGGAAGCGAAGGTTCTGGTTCGGAAGTGAACTGAGTTCTAGGGAGGGAAACTTGGAGTTGGTGACCTAGTTGGTGTCGTTGAGAACTGTAAAAGTTGTAATGAATGGGCACGAATCAATCGTGTTTGAAGATAAGGAAGCGAAAATGAAAGGCTTGGAAGTAGAGACTGCTGAGTGATGATGCTGATGATGATCTAGATGTGGTAGAGACGATGCCATGGCACCTTTTTATACACGTCGTCCTGAGACCGGCTGAATGATGCTTGCTGATTATGCTTGAAGCTATCCGCGGAAGCGGCATCGCAGACCCCTTCGGCTCGAGACTTCAGACGAATCATGCTTCTCCAAACAGGGGGGGAGCGGCAGGACATTGGTTGACGCCGAGAGCAGAACATCCTGCTCGAGGTTATCGTCTCAAATATGAGACTGTTTCCTCAGTGAGGACGAGTAGTATACGAGACGACGGTACCGAAAGGCATGCCGTATCCGAGATAACATGCACGAGGGAGCGATAAGAAGCTATCCAGAGCTGGCATGAGAGTGGTTCACGGCCTCCAAGTGGTTTGGTATCGTTCCGATATTTGGCATGGGGTGGAAGGGACATGGTCCGAGGCAGTCAGTTGCACGCCATTGAAGTGCGTGAAGTTTGGTGTCGTTTGAACAAGCATTGCGGCGCAGTCGCAGGGCTCTATAATCCCTGAAAAGGGCCCTGGAAGTGGCCTGGGGGTGGGGTGGGATGCTTGCTGATCTGCCCAGGTGTGAATTATGAGCCGAGATAGCCGTAATGATCCCTACCATTGTCATCTATAGCAGTAGTACTATGGTAGGATGGCCTAGTTGGCTGAGGCAGGAGGCCATAAGCGAGTTTGATCAGGCTCTGGTCGCGCCAAGTGAGGATCAAACTGTCGCAGTCTCGTGTCGACCCCTGGCACTTGGGTTGCGAGGGGGTGTAGGCGGTCAGACCCCGAGATGCTCATCAACCAGATCCAATGCGAGCTGTACGAAAGCCGAAGAATCATTCTTTCCAATGGCTTACCACCCCCCTTGTTGGTTACTGAAGAAGCTGGTCTATTGCATAGAAGGCCTGTGAAAGCAGTGGCTGAATGCGCTTCTAATATAGGCTGTACAAAATGACGGTTTTCCAACAATAAGACAATCAGTCTTCTCAGGTCTGGTGGTCTAGTGGTATGATTCGCGCTTAGGGTTTACTCTGAGTTAATTGCGCGAGGTCCGTAAGTATTATGAATTCGAAAATTCCTGAACCAGAACAAATAACTAACATATAACAGCGGGTTCAATCCCCGGCCAGACCCGAAATATTCAATTTTTTGTTGTTTTTTTCTCCGTAAATTGTATTCGCATTAGCTTCTATACGACACACAGGAAGAATAATCGCATATGTTCGTGTTGTTGGACTTTCATTTTGGCTTGTCTCAAGTTAGCTGAATTGTTAGCAGAGGTTTCCTCTGTCGAGTTTTGACGGGCCTATAAAATATGGATTACACTAACCCGATCTGACTCTAGCGTTGCATCTCTCTTCCGCCTTGACGTCCCTGGCGTGTAAGATGATTGGCCAATGCTTTCGCCTGTCCCGCTCCTTGAGGTTTACCCTTTTCGGGGAATAGGTTGAGGTTCCTGGAGATAGCTGAGACAACAGCTTGCTGGTTTGAGTTGAATGGACAGATATTCTTGATAATATATTGTATATCTTGTTCAGGCCTATTATATGAGTCAAGGGCATTGGGACTCGCTTTTATTCATCAATAGTCAGAAGATCCACAGATATGTTATGCCTCATCATTGGTGACAAGGTTACGGGTTCCTCTGGAAGCTTGTAAGGGTATGGCTGGTCTGGGCCACACCACCTGGCAGAATGTCTTATCTGATCTCCTTCTACGGTAAATGCACCCTGTGTGCGCTGCCACAGTTTCAATGTTGGTGCGGGAGGCTTCGTGCAATAAATAGCCTACGGATATCTAACCGCTGGTAGTGTAGTACCCAAATGTTCGTGGTTGATGGTGAGAGGGCTGGCAAGATTATCCACTTTATAGCCAGCCTTGCGCACCGAGTCCCTTAGGATTTTGTCACAATCGCAGACAACATCCTGTGTTATATCGAGTTGATCCTCGGAGGCGTTGGTATTGCCTACAAAATCCGACGTTCCGCAGCTGGAGGTGATCTGTTCTGGCAAGCTCTGTCTATCACATTATACGTAGTATGCCCGACTGGAGACAACCCTCAACCTCACACACTCCGGCGTGTCTTGTTAATCCCAGGTGATATGCCCCTTGCTACTTGTCAAGTACGTCTCAAGAGGGTACGGTTGGACCACGCTTAGACCGCGGTCAAACTGCATTCCTACCGCGCTTACCCTTTGCCCTCCCCCATCAGCCTACAACTCTCCAAAGTCGTAATATTACTCAACGTCTTCAATTCGAGTCATACCAGAGATTCCGGCCCCTGCCTGCTCTTGCTAAGACGTATCCATAGGCCAGTACATAATGAAGGCTACTGCTATGTTGCCAGCCTTGACTACTTAGTCTCCCCCGGCCATGTCAGCCAAATCGAGACGGAGCGTCTGCTCTTTGCTGGTGCTACCATTAGTGTCGATTGACCCTCAACCTCTTCGACATCTGCCGACCGGAGCACTTCTCGTGAATATAGAATAGACTATAAATAACCCATAGCAGTCCACCCATATCCACCCTGAATCAGATAAAAATCAGGCCAGGCCATCTGGCGTGTGTCAGGTCACCACCGACAGGGATGTTCCCGGAACCACTACTCGTCCCGAGGCAATGACTTCAAGGGAGAAGACAATCTGAACACGGAGTTCGGAACATATCCGTATGTAATTGGTAGGCCGTAGTCATATTCTGCATACAACATCCGCATTGTGTTGATCCTGCAGTACTCACGTACTCGAATCTCCCCGCAAAATGTGGAGAAAAGTGAACCATACCAGGTTGCCTCAACATGGTCTTACACACCGAAACAACCCCTCTTTGAGCGGGTAGACTATTGATACTGCGACTAAGCATATAGTCTTCATATATATGTTGAAGAATTGGCAAATTTGGCAAGTACATTATCCTAATATATATCTCGCGAGATGTGATTCGATCATGTTGTCCAATTGTTATTATAGTTGCAGTACAAGATTAGGTGTAGGAATAAATATGTGTGGGTACGGTTGTCCTGGTGTATGAAAATCATTCAATTAAACCTGAAAACATCCCAGGCGTGGATAAGGCCATGAGGCCACTCGGGGTAACGTCACCCGCCCAGTCCCGATGTCGTGTCGTATGACCGCTTATAATGACGATGTACAAACCACCATAATGACTCGAGACCACGTAAATATTTTCGATATATATATATACGCGAACTTCGAACAGTGACACACCTCATTTCTATAACTCATCTCGCATCTCTCTTCTTTGGAAAAACAACAAACAAACAACTCATCCAAATACATTTCTCCTCGACAGGAACTCACACCATGACAACCCCCTTCAGTGTGTCTGGAAAGACAGCTATCGTGACAGGTGCAGGTTCTGGTACGTCGCTACTTGATACGGAAATCTCACTGCGTCTTATGCTCGTACTGACATGAGTGCTAGGAATCAACCTGGCCTTCGCGTCGCTGCTTCTGTCCAAGGGCAGCAATGTCATCTTAGCTGATCTTGGGCTTCGCCCAGAAGCCGAGAAGCTGGTTGCCAGCTACAGCGACGTCGGCACGAGCCCACGTGCCATATTCGTTAAGACAGACGTAACATCATGGCCTGCTCTAACGAATTTGTTCAAAGTCGCCATAGCCGAGTTCGGAGATGTCGACATCGTCTGCCCCGGAGCCGGGGTCTTCGAGCCACCCTGGTCCAGCTTCTGGCTCCCACCTGGCTCCAGTGAAGCAAAGGACGCCATCGATGCACACCCGGGGCACTATGCACTTCTGGATATCAATCTGACACACCCCATCCGAGCGACACAGCTCGCCATATCTCACTGGTTGCATCCGCCCGCGGATTCCAAGAGGACCAAGGTATCAACTACAAACCCAAAGCGGGTCATCCACGTCTCCTCCGTCGCTGGAGAGGCACCTCCTTTCAACGCTCCTATCTACGCTGCCTCGAAGTTTGCCATCAACGGCTTCGTGCGCAGTCTCTCACAGCTGGATGAACAGCACGGGATCCGAGTCAACGCGATAGCTCCTGGCATCGTCCGTACGCCGTTGTGGACGGATCACCCTGAGAAGTTGGTCTATGTTGACCCGAACGACGATGGTTGGGTCACGCCTGATGAGTGTGCCGTCGCAATGCTACGATTGGTAGAGGAGGGTGGCCTGGTTGGAGGCACGGTTCTGGAGGTCGGCAAGAATAACTCTCGCAGTATCCAGACTTTCAACGACCCTGGCCCGAGTTTTGATCCGAAGGACGGACTGGTTTCGCGGGACTTGGTGTCAGGCACCAACCAGGTCTGGAAATGGCTCGATGATAAGAGCATCTGGGGATCGGACAAGGTTCTTTAAGTGCAACCAGGTGGTTGCATACGTTTTTCTGGATTGGGTACATGTGTACTAGCATGCGACGACTGATATGAGCTAGACCCTTTTGGTTTATAATTTTCTTGTTATTGGACTTGATATCATGGAAACCGAGTCCGTCCGTTATCGCAGAATCGACCGATATTCCACAACATCCATCATAAACTTCCACTTCCTCCATACCAGGAATATGATATCTCGATACCCCGCCCGAGCCACAGTGGGTCATCTTCCCTCCATGTAGCAAGCGCGCGGCCAAACATCCCCATCGCTATTTGGACCGCCCGTAGCCGCAATCACAAGGATGGTCTGAGCTACGACGAAGCAGATGGAGCTCGATGGCAGTTGCACCGCCTCAGCACTGGAGAGCTCAATGAAATCTTGTTTGCCCTCTTCAAGAAAGCGGTATTCAGCATACCTAGCCTGTCAAGTCTATGCTGGAAATGAGCTTCTGCATCCAAAACAGACGGTACAGGCTGCCGTGCGAGATGCATCCTGCCACAGCCGAAGAGCCGCGGCCTGTCTTCCGCTATCACGAAAGAGCGAGCGAACAAGCGCCTCGGCAGGAATTACAGCATCGCGACCCGCTTCGGAGACAGCCCGTACAGCGCCCCGGTTTTCATGCGCTCACAGCAAGGGCTTGCTTTCCCTCTCCCGCTGTGGCTCGCGGGGCCTGCCGAGGTCGGTGCCATCTTCAAGGCCCTTTAAGTCCGTGAGATCATTCAAATATCCCCCCTGGGATATCCCAGCGATGGCGAACCTTATTTTTCCCGGTCCCAATGTGGCGATGTACAATTTTTGTTTGTAGGGCTGAAGTTCTTGCAACGCCAGTGGTGTCACTATTGACGTATCTGGAGGTTTTCATCGTTAGCTCAGACCGTCTCAAAATCTTGGAATTAATACTCTATGAAGTAACATACCGTCCTTGTACTATCGATAATACGGGCCGAGTCCCGTATCCTTCGGCAGATCCCTCAGTCCCGCCGGAGTCCTCCCGTCTCCCATGGTGGCTCCAGCAGAACCACTGATGATCTGCGGACTCCGTTGGGGTCCAGCCCTGAAGTACATATGATCCGGAGCCGGCCTATTGCGTGATGTGTCTTGCTGATCCAGCCCATACACTGTCTCACGCCCCGCCGTGTCGAAGGTTTTCGGCCGCGCTGCCTCATAGATGCTGTCAAGCTGCAACATACGGTCGTCGCTGATCCCTTTGAGCATTTCTTGATTCCACCGCCTTCGGCGCTGCCACATGAAGAGCGCCCATATCGCCACGACCATCGCGCCAAGTCCGCCGGCTACAGAGACCCCAATCATAGCCGCGACTGGAAATCCACTTCCCTTCGTGTCGGAATCATTCGCATCGTTGGTAGCTAGAAGACCCGAGTTCGTGTCGTTGCCGTTCGCGCCACTCGATACAGCTGCTGCTGTTGGTGTTGACTCCAGCACGATATTAGTGTCCGAAGAACTAGCCATTACCAGATCTCCTGTCGGTGAGCTGACTCCGGATATTATCTGCGTTCCACTTAGACTTGGGGTCCTTGTGCTCAGTGGGACCACACCGCCGGTACGGCTGGGATGGGAGCTGGCCGATGAGGTTTGCGGTGCGACATGTGCAGTAGAAGCCGATCGATCGCTGCTTTGCCAGTTCATCTGGAACATGGGCGCAAAGAGTGTTGCGGCTGTGATACTTGCCGAGGTTGCTGGCACGACGGCTGTTCCAGATTCGAATGCCGCCCCATGTTCGCAGCGAACAGTTGGAATTACTGCAGA